CCTTCATGGCTGGGGTCCAGCAGGGTCTCCTATGAAGGGGGACATGTCCTCCTGACTGAAGGAGGTCGTACAGGAGGTAGCAACAAAATACCACAGGAGATTTAGTTGCAAACAATTATTTATTAACTTGAGATTTTTTATTTTATTTTTACCTTTTGAATAATTTCAGTCCGATTAAAGAATGGATGTGATATTCCTTTAATTCAAAACTACTTTATTTATCCCAAAGAGAATAACTTGTATCATCCAAGTATCTTGAAATTGCTGTTGTGGATGGTGATGCTGTGGACAGGAAGGATCTCCAGTAGCAATCAGTCTTGTAATGAATCTGAAAAGCCCTCTGACTGAAGACGGTTGCTGTGCCACAATTACATGACTGTTATGACACTTTAACAGCTCACAGCTAACAGCAGAGATGATATTGTTACAACCAGCAGTTGTTAGCAAGCTCTACTAATCCACCTCATTTGCGTTTGCTGCTCTTCTTTGAATCTCTGTCTGGCTGTACGGTTAGAGAGATGCTGAAGTTGGGGATCCTTGTTTTTCATGATGGTTTGAACTTCCTCCTCCTCCCTCTGCTCCTGCTCTGCATCCAAAAGTCTCCTTTTCACCTCCTCTGGGGTCATAGTTCAGGTGTTATTTGAGCTTTTGAAATGCTAATCAGTTGCTCCCAGAGGTAAAAACGATACCCTTTTGCCATAGTTATGCAGCAACTTTCTGAAAGTAAAAGCTAAAATTCTTCCAGCAGCACAACATCCAAAGCCAGACAGGAACTGCTGCCCAAACATGCAGCATTCGTCCAAATAAATATCAAATCAAATCAAACTTTAGAAAAACAAATTAGAACTAACAGCACAGCTGCCACCATGAGCAGCACAATTCTAGAACTACTCATATTTGCACATATTGCCATTAAATGTGTCTGGATCAATAGAAAAGCAGAGTCTGAGGCAAATCCAGCTAACGGCTAACATTGTGCAAGAATATCATTTCATGAGAATACTGCTGATGTAGAAGCAGCATTCTGAGCCAAAACACAGTGAATAATACAATGTGGACTGATTTACATGATGGAAAATCTAAAAGCAGACATATTATTTTATTAACATGCTGTCATCTGTTTGAAGATACACATTCTGCCTCTTGGCTCTTTGTGTTTACCCAATCAAATGAGTGTACTGTTCAGGTAGGAGCCAGTTCCTGTGATGTGCGATCAGCAGTCAGCCAGCTGGTAGAGCAACCTGTGGCTCACATTACATCTCTATTTCCAGACAGGATGTCCCCTGGCCTGCATGCAGAACACTGCCACCTCATTATGTAACATGGATTTAGAACAAAGCTGGGCTAACAAGTAGACGTCTTTTTAACCAGAGTAGTGCTTTAAACTTGATGACTGGAAAAGAAGCAAAGTTATTGTAGAAAACCAGGTGAGTGTGCGGTTTATTCATTGGCACCGATGGGATCCTCTCATGTCCTGGTTTCATCGGACTTCTATTACCTTAGGGTTCAAAGCCAAAGAACATTACGCAAGCAGCCATTTTTACTGCCTTCTTAATCTGTCCTCTGACTGCCGAATGCCTGACATATCAGAGCCAACCCATATATGAAACATGTACAGAAGCATATATCAACACAGCTAGACGCTGTGGCATTCCAGAGATGCACCGGAGCGTAAAAAAGTTACTACCAAATGGTTTAAATTGTTGTTTTAAACAACTAAACTGTTTGGTTTAAGCAACCAAACAGAGAAGCTATGTAATTCTACAGACGGGTCAGTCAGATCAGGGTTCCACCAGGGTCACAGTCACTGATGATTTCTGAACCTGGTGGACGTCAGGCGCAGGCTGGCCAGTCAGCAACAGGGGAACTCAACATAGTCAGGAAACGCGCCCGGTGGCGAGAGTTTCTGTGTGTTCTGCAAACATCAGCTTAGGGTCCAAAAGGTCTGCCTTTTATTTGAACAAGCAAGAGAGAAAGATTCAATTACAGTTTCACCTAACTGTGTCTAACTGGGTTTATCCTGAAGTATCATTAGACCACAGCTGGAGCAATGTGGACAAGACACACTTGCTAATGAGAGGTTTTATTTAAAATGTTGAAAGTATATTTGTCATCTGTAAAACAAGAGTACTCTGACTCCATCTCTAACACTGACTGACAAACTTGATCTGTCCCATAATCATCTCTTGTTGGATTCTGTTAGAGTCACTTAGCTCTCTATGAGAGGCAGAGCAGAATTATCTGGCTCCTAATAGCTACACCTGCCAAGAGGAAGAAGAATGATGGGTCAATGCTGCAGCTTTCAACTCAACATCTTCAGCTTTTCAGTAAAACGTCAACCCTGGCCAAGTCAGATGACATAGTCCTCAACTGGAACCAGGAGGACTGCTCCGTCCAGGTCAGGGGTCAAAGTTTATGCATCTTAATGGAATGTTCACAAATGATGGGAGACTTTGGACCAGGATATGTCCTGGAACCCTCCCTTTTATTCTGGTCCCACTGGGAGGAGACCCAGATCTTAGTGGAGGGACTGTACATGTCTTCTGGTCTGTCAGAATGAGTTGGAGTCCTGCTGGGTAAGGAATGTTTGGGTTTTCCTTCTGGAATTGTCATGTGATTGGATCTCCGATCACATGACTTTATCTCCAACAGAAGTCCAGGTAACAGCAAATACCGACTTCTTTCAGTTCAGGAAAACACAAAGAACGCCAACAAACTTTACTATCCAGAACATAATTTTACCTGTTAGAACTCCTACAAAATAAAACACACTGATGAGACCACTGGAGCACTGTTCTTTCAATAAGACCTATAATCTGTCCTGTAGGAGAAATAGTGGCATGGAGGTAAGAAGGAGGACATCTGGGTCAAAGGTAAGGCCAATAGAAATGGGGTGGTTGGGCTGCCTTTGCTCCACAGAATTGCAGTAAAAGCAGCTGTGTTCTGGTTAAAGTTCAGACCCAGAGATATGGCTCATGCAGGGACAGGACCATCTCTTACTATCAAGAAATAGTGTTTTAGAATGTTATGCTGCCACCTATTGGGCAAACTGCAGAACGTTTTGCTTAAAGGCCACAATACGCTTAAGGTTGGTGGCGTTTGATCCGTTTATCTTCCTATTTGATGCCAGCCAAACGGCTCTGGTCACAGAGAACATTAACAACAGAGGGGATTTTAGACTACTTGGCTTTCTACCATGGCCTGGGGAGCATCACAATAATACAAAAACTAAAAGTCTTTTATGGTCTGAATGAGTTCTACATTTCTCATTTTCATGTGTTGTTTACATGAATGTGCACCAACCCTGAAGCCAGCCAATCACTGAACAGATGTTGAGAACAGATAAATGTGTGGATGTAACAAAACTTTATCCAGCTGAAGGAAAACTGAAGTTCTCTTTGGACCTCAAGAGAGACGATCTAGAGTCAACACAGCTTCAGTTTTACAAACTAGAAACTAGAGATTAGACTGAAATCTGGGTGTAGTGATGAACTCTGACCTGAACTTTCAGACACATAAAGACGGTTACAAAGCCGGCCTTCTATCACCTGAAGAAGAAGAACATTTTCAGGATTAAAGGACTAATGCCTCAGCAAGATCTAGAGAAACTCATCCATGATGTGTTTATTTTTAGTCACATTGATTACTGCAACAGTGTCTTTACAGGTTTGACTAAAAATGTCTGACTTGTAAAGGTCCAACTTTACAGTTTTTTTTTGTCAGCAAACTAAAAAAGTCAGCTGACCAGCCAAAGGTTGCAGCTGACTGATACAATAATCTACTGACTAGGTTATTTTATCTTTCATATTTTTATTTTTCATAATTTAGTAAAAGTCAGTTTTTCCTTTGACAAAAAAGTTTGTCAAACCCCCCCTCCCCAAAACATTTATTCAAAGCAACAAAAGGGTAAAATATCCAAAGGACTAAATACTTTTTATATGAACTGTAGATATTAAAAATGTGAAAAAAGCAACTTCAATGCATTAAATTAGGGACCCTCACTTGTACATGAGGATCAGCTTACAAAAGGTTTTCCTGGTGTCAACTGGCTCTTTGGTTTGTTTGAGTTTGTCTGCAGAAAACCTCGACCTTCAACCGAGCCAACGCACTGGAGATAACCTTGGACCCTGAAAAAAGAACCACATCATTTACTAACATCTTGTACTGCTGTGCTAAAATCCTGTAGCCATCCAAACCTTTAACACAAAGCTAACGTGAAACGAGCTCAATATGTTACATCAGCACACTGGGCTGGCAGTCACTTTAATTTAAGCCAACGTTTTAAAAAGTGACACTTTCCAAACTCCAGAATTTCTGATTAAAGTGACTTTTATGAGAGTGTGCTGAAGAGGCCAGAGGCACAAAGTGCTGCCCTTTCCCCACATGTTGCTGCACACTGTTAGTCAGTTGGCTAACTAATGGCTACTACATTTTTTCCTCACTAATCTATTTATACTGAAAGTTATTGTGTCATGAAACTCTTATAACTTTAAAATGTTGTGACTTACAATGAATATCCTTTATTTCCCCCATCACAGTTTTATTTTGTGACTTTGTACATTAAAACATAACATTACAAAAAATAGATGCAGTCCAACTGATGTTTACTGTCAACCTGAAGCAGGACAGACAGACTGTCTGCTTCATCTTTCATAGGAAGTTTCTGTTGGAAAATATTCTTATGCAAAATCTGTAGAAGCTCCAAAAGTCAAATCCAAGCACCGACTGCACAACGCCCTCTCCTGATTGGTTCTGCTCTGCGTGAGCCCACTGAGGAGTCCTTTTGGTTTCCAGGGGCAACACCATCTACAACACTCACATTAAACACCATCTCTATACACAGGCCAACAGGAAAGAACAGAAGGGAAGAAAATATGAACAATCATGAGTAAACACTGCTATACCTGGTTACAGTTTTAGTTAAAGCAGCAGTGGCTCATGTTAACTGCAGCCTCACACTTTGAGTGTACAGGAAGTGGTGGGCTGACCCTTTGTTTGGGTTTTGGCTTGAAAAGATTGTGCAGCATGAAATATTCCCAAAGCAAAAGAACAAAGAGCAAAGAATAACTGAACTCCGTCTGTTTGAATCAGGAAGATAAAATAGTAGTCATGCTTCTTTGCGTACATTTGTATGCCCCAAAATAGATCCAGAAAAGAGATAATGAGGGTTATTTAAGGTTAAACTCAGACTATGCTGCCCACTGGCTTTCACTTGATAGTCACACAAGGTGGTCAAACGGTGGGAGTAGTTTGATCAGCAGATGGCAGATTGGCAGATCAGAACCAACAGTCCAGAGAAAGATTAAAAGATCTTCTTCTTCTTGCCCTTGTCAATGGTCCTGCAGAAACCAGAGCAAAAATGCAGACTTACAACTCAACACATTTATCAGTCATCTGATCTAAATCCTGATGAGGACAGAGCATTGCTATAGGGATCAAACATAAATCTGCAGTAACTTTTATAAAAATATATTTCTTATAACATGAGACATGGATCTGTGAAAAGATGGATCTCCTCCTCCCTGTGGTCCTACTGCCATCTACAGAAATGCACCGCTCCTGCTCAGAAAGATCGTGATAGACTGCATAATAAATGAATTGTACAGATATACTTTTGAAAGAATAGATATTGTGGCATGAAAGTAAAGCTAAATGTATAAATATTTATTTGGTGGGGCATAAATGGATTTTACATTCTAGACTGAAATGCACTATGTAGGTCAACACCAATAATCTCCACACTCAGACTGTCTGAAAATGCTATGTGCAATATCTTTATTGACTGTCTTAATTGTTCATTGTTTTTGTTGGTGCCTCATATATATATATATATATATATATATATATATATATATATATATATATAAATAATGTTTGTATAATGCTTATTCTAGATTTTAATTTTATTCATTTGTATTTATTTCATTATTATTTACCTCCACCTGTATACAGTTGTATATAGGGCAGGGTGATGTGGCTGAAAAATATATCACAATATAAGCATTTCATATCAATCAATAACAATAATTGTTGATTCGTTATTCTGTTTTAAATATCTAAAATCCTGCTGGGGCGGATCTACTGGGGTGGCAGTTGCACCCCAAATGAGAGCCTTGCCACCCCTGTTGCCACCCCAGCTGGCGACAATGAATTCAATAAATAGTTATGGCAAATCGAACATTAAGCGCATGATACTCTTTTTTCCGACAACACTGAATGCAACACAATGTAACCTGACACCTACTGCTAAGTAGCGGGAAGTGCGAGAGAAGGACAGAGCGCCAGCAGCATTGGTGGATATATACGTTACTGGACTGGACATCACGTGACTTATTGCCATTGCTGTCCATTGAGTCAGAAATATCGGTGGTCAGGAAACTACTACAATCACGCAAAGAATCAGAACAACGGACGCAATGTTTAGCAGTTAATTCAACCATAGATAATGGTAATAAGGGCTTCAGATTTCACAGGTGAGGAAAACGTTTTAACTTAAAGAAAACATTGAACAAGTGAGCAGTGGGTCAGTTATACTAGCCTAACTGTTAGCCTGCTATGGACTTTGATAACCTGAGCATGTGCTGC